GCAGGAGAAAGAGGCTGGTCTGGCAGCAGCCCTGTCCACGGGGGGAGAAAGGGAGGAAAGTTCCCCACGGATAGAGGTTGCTCTGCCTCCCATTAATAAGGCAGCAATGTGGGGAGGGCGGGGGGGAGGAGAAGAGAAAGATGGGCAGAGGAAGCACAGCAGAGCCAGTGCTGGGAGGAACTGGCTTTGGCTCCCCCCAGCACTGACTCCTGCTTCCCTTCCTCTCCCCTCCCCCCCGTTGCTGCCTCTAATACAGAGGCAACAAGAGGGGGTGGGTGTGCGAGTAGTTGACAAGCCTAGGCTTATCAGTTAACCATAAAGTTGACCACACGCTGACATCCCTGGTGCTTACACCAGTGACTTCCACCAGTTCAGTAGTTTGAGTTTGACAATTATCTCCTGATAGTGAGAGCAAGTATTCACATGGCACTGTGGTAGCCAACACTGCAAGATCGTCACAGGTACATATACACAGCAACGTTATTGCCAAATAATAAAATGTGCATCCACACCGCAAGCCATTATTTCCAAATAATGTTGAGGTGGAGGACTTCTTACTCCAACTCCTGTAACCCTCATTTTACGAGTAACGGAAGTTGAAAGAAGAGTGTTCTTCCTTCAACTTCTTGCTGTACAGAATGCGCCAAAAGCCAAATTAAGCTATTTCAATTTCAGCTACACAGTTGACATAGCTGAAGTTGTGTAGTTTTAATTCAACTTTTGCCCTGCTGTGTAGACATACCTTCTGTGCCAAATAAGCTAAGCTTTTACACACACCCTTCATGCTTTGACAATGCTTTCAGGGAATATTATAAATAAGAAGTAGGCAATTAGCTCCTGTAAATGTAAACAAATTAGTTTGACTGGCTGAACCAGGTTGTAAGTGCTTTGGAAGATAGGGTCATAACCCAAAATGGTCTGGACAAACTGGAGAAATGGTCTGAAGTAAACCGGATGATATTTAATAAGCACAAATGCAAATATTCAATTTAGGAAGAAATCATCAGTTGCACACATACAAAAGGGAAGTAACTACATCAAGCTTATGCTCCAACACTTCGGTTAGTCTATAAAGGTGCCACAGGACTCCTTGCCGCTTTTACACCACGGAAGTAGAACTGCAGGGATCTAGAGATCATAGTGGACCACAAGCTAAAAATGGAGCCATCTCACAGCCTCAAAAAAGCAGCAAACATCATTCTGGGAACATCACACCACATTAACAGAAACAAAAAATAGTTCTGCTTTACACCAGGCTGATTAGGCCTCCGCTGAAATAGTGTGTCCAGTTCTGGGTGCCAGCTTTCAGGAAAGATGTGAACAAATTGGAAAAAGTCCAGAGAAGAGCAACAAAAATGATTAAAGGTCTAGAAAACATGACCCATGAGGGAAGACTGACTAAACAAACCCAGCTTTTTCAGTCTGGAAAAGAGAAGACTAAGAGGGGACATGACAACTTTCAAGTACCTAAAAGGGTGTTAAGGAGGAAGGAGAAAAATATTCTCCATAACCTCTAATAAGAGAAGCAGCAATGGGCTTAAATTGCGGCAGGGGAGTTTTAGGTTTGACACTAGAAAAAAAACTTCTCCATTGTAGGGTGGTTAAGCACTGGAACAGATTACCTAGGGAGGTTGTGGGAAAACAGGTTAGATAAACATTTATCCGGATGGTCTATGGTGCCTGGCCCTGCCATGAGTGCAGGGACTAGATCTGATGACCTATAGAGGTCCCTTACATTCCTACATAACAGTAATTGCTTGTAAATGTTTTAAACATGGTAATCACTGTGACTCCACAATACTGTGAGTGTAGGTTAGTACTTGTAAAACACCTGATAAGTAGAATCAGTCACCACAGTAGAAAAGTGATAGAAATGTAGCCGTCTTAGTCTGGCGTAGCTGAAACAAAAAACAGGACTATGTAGCACTTTAAAGACTAATAAGATGGTTTATTAGGTGATGAACTTTCGAGGGCCAGACCCACTTCCTCAGATCAAATAGTGGAAGAAAATTGTCACAACCATATATACCAGAGGATACAATTTAAAAAAATGAACACATATGAAAAGGACAAATCAAATTTCAGAACAGAAAGGGGATTGGGGGGGGAGGGGGGAGAGGTAAATATCTGTGAGCTAATGATATTAGAGGCTTCTCTCTTTTATAAATACAAAATTTTGAATTTCAGTCATATAAAAAAGTGTAACTTTCAGCCAAAATCAGTGTATCTGAGCATCACCCTGGACACCTAAACCCCTAACATTTTTCACTCTTCCACACTTGAGGAACTCAACCCCATAAGACCAAACATTCATAAATTTAACTTAATTCTTCATTTTAGTGTGTATTTTATGAGTTCTGCCTCTTTGCTACCTGTTACTTCAACAAGCTTACACAGTAGTTTGCCATGTCCTTACCAAATGAATATTGTATGTTTTACATGCCAGATCGTCCAGGCTCTGGTTCTGCAGCTTTTCCGTTATTAGTGTTACCATGGTAGTTGTCCCTTTTCCACTGCTCACACGGGAAGTGTTGGTGGCTCCGATGTGCCTTGTTTTAGTAGTCGTGAGCCATTTCTGGTTCTGTTCTAAATCTCAAGACTTATGCTTCCATCTTATTGCTGAAGTTTTATATGCAAAGGCCTTCAATGAACCATGTCTGCTTTTCTGTAAAGGTGGAGAGGAGGAGAAAGTCAGCTTTGTACGCAGCTATTTATAACAACTGAACTTCTATGTCAAGGCCTTGCACATAGAGCCAGAGAAGTTAGTTAGTGTCCCAAATTTCTTACATTTCCCCCTGACTTCACAGATTACAGGTCTCCGTTCAAGTAGTATGTCTCCTACTGCATTTTTACTGATTGCAGACAATTACTACCACAAAGGCAGAAGTCATCTCAGTAATTTTACTTGTCAGCCCTTTTTTCCCCCTCCCTTCCTACAAAGAGACATTCTATATAGCAACCATTATGCTCTATCAACAGACTTTTTTCTCCCATTAAAAAAATCACTAAGGCAAAGTTAGTGACAGGTGTGTAGAACAGCAAGTTTATATAACTGGAAGGATAACTAAATGTAGAATCTTGTTTCATAAGACAGGAAAGCTCTTCTGGCTATTTTGCATAAGGGATATTCTTCTTCTCAAAATAGGTCCCTCTAGAAGATCTAGCTGAAAGATTTTACATGTATGAGCACAGCAGGGATAGAAGTTTTTTTAAATACATTTTCTGATTCCCTGTATTTCTTGATAGATATATCTGACCAACAACGCTTATAAAATGTATTTTAACCATTATAATTATTCATCTCCAGCTAAAATTGGATCTCAGAGTTGTAAACAGAAAACTGACCGGAAAGGTAAATGTTCAGTATAAATACACATTTTAAATTATTGCTCACTGAGAAAATGTTCTCTTCTCAGAGAAGCCAACAGTAAGCTCATTATTGTACATGCCATGCCTTTGTCATCCTACCTTTGTTTTTGCTTTCCCCACTGCCAAGAAAATAACCTCTCATCACTCCCCTATGAAGAACATATCAAAGCCCACCTCACACCATCTTTGCTTATTTTCTCCAACCCCCTCTTCTTGTTCCTTGAACTTCTCTATGCAATGATGTAATCTATTTTTTTAGTTTTCATCTTCTATACTGGAGCCTTTTAGGGTTGGAACAAATTTCTAAACTCACTTCTATCTTTGTTGCTGCAATAATGTCTCTACACCCAATCTTCAGTGAACTGTCGTCCGATATCTTAGCTCACTTACTTCAGACTGTCAGCTTTTAAGGCCCACATCACATTGCCTTTGTGTAAAGGCATGTAAATGTATAGTACCAAATGAAAATGATTGATGAGTCAGACTGATTCACTTTAAACTGGGTAGCTTCGGGAAGAGATGCTACACTGGCATTTACACAGAACTAGCAGAAAGCTATTTATACCCAAGCATATTCAGAAATGCAAGTCAAATGTAAAGTAACCAAAGACTATTTGCTGTTCAGAAACGTTTTGCAATACTGGGAAAGGCCAAACAAGAAGAGACCCAATGAATTAAAAACGGCATCAAATCATCTGTTTGCATTCAATAGAACGTGCTTTAAAAAACATTTGAATTTGTGATTTGGTCAGTGAGGCAACATGTTATTGGACCAACTTGCACTGCTCAGGGAGACAAAGCAGTATAGAGCTCTTCATCAGGTCTGAGAAACTTATTCAGAGTGTCATCGCTATATATAAGATGGACCAGACTGAAATATGCATTAGCCATATATGGTAAACAATCAGTCTGATCTTGTAGTTAGTTGTGACACTAAGTAAGTTTCCCAGACCTGAAGAAGAACTCTGTGGAAGCATGAAAACTTGTGTCTCTCACCAGTAGAAGGTCATCTAATAAAAGAGACTTCATCTATCTTATCTCTGTAATATCTTAGGACTGACACAGGTACACTGTCACTGCATACCATTGGTGATAAAAACGGATTAATCTAAGGAATATGGGAAAACAAGTGGTCACTTTGTACAGTAATATTACAAAGATATTTAAAATATAAATACAATATGTTGAAATATGTCCAGTATTCTTCACAAATACTAACCACTTTCTTACCCTCTGGCTTACTGTTAGCAGTTATTTGGGTACATGACTCAAGTTAAAGCCATCGAAAGCTAAAGCATTACCCATACGATACTGCCCGATTATCTTTAACACCTAGAAGTACTTCCTGAGAATATAACTCCATATTATAGCCCTATAAAAGAGCAGATGATTTTGGAAACAGTAGAATTGATGGAATAATATAAATATGCTGCCCTGTGCCTCATTCCACTATGATTTTACTCGCCATGAAGCGGGTAATGTTTAGGTTTAGGATAAGACAAATGCTTGAATGCTTCCTAGAGATACCAACGAAGCTGCAGTGCTTCTACAGAGATGCAAGCTAACAGCACAATGCTGGTCTTCTTGCATAGGCACCCAAAACATCAGCCAATGCCTCTTGTGAAATCCAATCAAGTCTTTGAATCAGAATCTGACAGTCTCCTAGTAGGCACCGACACATTCATCACCAAGAAGGATGCACTTTTTTTTTTTTTAAACGGAAGTCAAGTTACTGCCATACCATACTACACAACTGCTTTCGTGTTCTGATTTATACCTACACATGCACACAGCCAAATTGCTGTTATGCATAGGCAATCTGGCTGACTTTACTGGAGTTGTGTGCCTAATGAAGAAAAGTTTCTCACTCAGTCTAGAAAGTTGTAGCCTTATCTGAAGTTGAGTTTTGCAATTTACTATACATGCACCCATCAGTTTAGATTGAGTGTATGTTATAAGATATTTTGTTTTTGACATTAATACAAAGGTTTTCAGATTAAAAGAAACTATCATAGGAGCATTACACCAGAAGGGTAACCACCAACTCATGCTAAGTTTTCAGCTGCAATTACATTTACCTCCTCTCTCTGTTTCTGTAACTAGGGTCATGCCATTAAAAAAAAAAAAAAAAAAAAAACTTCTAAAAGGACAGGTAGGCAAATCCAATCCAGAGAACAAGGGGACTGATGGCATATGAATGAGGAATGTGTTAGGATCAGGGTTCCCTTCACAGGTGATTAATCACCCCCACCCAATCAGAGGTTCAGGAGTCCATGCACAGAGCTGACTGACTGGGTGGAGCTGATTAATCACTTGTGAAGCTGTGCTGCCGCACAGCTTAGAGGGAACACTGTTTAGATGTGTTTAAACAGTTAATGGATGAGCCCGAGCTAATCGTTTAACCGTGTAGGTTACATACAAACCCACACCCCCGCACTGCCACTGTATCAGAGGCAGCAGTGCAGGGAGAGGACTTAAAAGCCAGCTTCCCACTCACACTGGCTCCCATGGCGCCACCTCCTCCCCACTGTGTGTAACTGGTTATACATTTACAAAAATGCTTTTTAACATTCCTAATACAAATAAGTATTTACATAATGGATAGAGACAGGACCAGGTAAAT